TGTTTTTCCGTAATTCGTTTCTTAAACGGTCGCCAGTCGCTAGCACCCTTTTCTAGCCAATCATTAGAGATTTCTATGATCACATTCACTGTCACATATTGCAATTTAAAAAATAAAACCCATCAACACTTCTTTTCGTTTGACCCAAATGTAGCTGCCGAACATGTATACTGCCTCTTAACCGTATGCGTAATTTTTTCTTTACGTGCATGATAGAGTGACACCATTCAGAGTACGTATTATTATTAACATAATTTTTACACTTTCACATTAGCAATTATCATAAAACAATGCATGTATAAATTGATAGACACTATAAAAAACAAAAAGATGCAAATTATTTATTTGCTAATTATAAAAGATTATAATCCTATATTACAATAGCCTATATTCTACAAATATATTATTAGTTTATTCATAAAAATAAATGACGTATTTCAAAATATATTTATAAATACTTTAAATATATAATATAGTTTCAAAAATATTTTATATATATATTTAAAATATTCTCAACACATATTTTTTTTAAATATTTAATATGAAAAATATACATATAAAATATGTATATTATAGATTCTAAACTTATTTGATCAATATATATTATGAATCTATTTTATATATTCAAAACATATATTTAATTTATATTTTGCATTGCTTTTTGGTAATATTTTAAATATATATTTGAATATATCAAACTGTTATTAAAGATATATTATTAACATATTTTATTCGAGGTTCTATCAAATACAACTTTAAATATATAAAATATTTATAAAATACATATTTGTGCTACTAGGGGTACTAGCTGTTGTACCATAGCCACCTTTAATACAGTTGTACCCGTGCTTTGCAACGGGAAGAGGGCACAAAATAGAAACATTTTAATCTTTACATCTGTTGCATATAATAGTTACACAACCGCCAACGCTTTTAGAAACAAAATTCAAGTTTTATGGCCTTAATAGAAACGTTATGACTTTTAAATCTGGTAAGTAGATTTAATGGTATACCACCATTTTGGTTTTGATTAATTTTAAATATTGTGTAGGCTGATATGAGAAAAATTGACCAAATCTTGGATTAAAACTTTCACATACGACTTACCTTCATCTCCCTTAATTACATATCTTTTTATTTATGATTGACATTTTAAATTTAAATTTTGAAGTTGCAAAAATACTAAATATTAAATTTAAATAGAAATTTTTTTAAATTTCACTCATCTTCATATTAAATCACAAATCCTTCCATCTTCAGTTTCTTCACTCAAAATAAATCATTAGCAAAACTAAGTCAGCTGTTATAAACTTTAGAAATTGTTATGCCTTATCAATACAGTCTTTTGAAATATTAAAGAAACTATATCTATACTATAAAAAAAATTTAACAAATAAATTAGCATTAAAGACAGCAGACAAAACTAATATGATTATCAAAGCACCGATAACTAAAAAATGTAATAGCAAATACATAGTTATGTTTCATTGCATCTCTGATTCTACTCTACAAAAATATCAACAAACAACTTAATATACAATCCAGTTCTTTTAATCAGTTCCATCGTCCATTGCCATTAAATTTTCACACTTACCATTAAGTAAACATAGTAACAGATATTTCATTGATTTGAAAAACAAAAGAACACTATGTACTGCTTAGTTTTATGATATTTTCTTTGGTTTAATTTAATCAGAGGTGTGGCAAAACACAAATAATAAATTTATCAAATAAAGTAAATCAATGTGAACTGAAAGCTATGTTAAGTTAAAATAAGAGTATTTTGTATTACCATTTGATAATTAAATATAGTTACACATATACAACAGATTTTAGAACACAAAAATCATTGATGTACAATTTAGTTATTGATAATATTCTTTAGTTTAATTTAAACATAGGTTTAGCAAAACACAATAACTAAATTTACCTAAATATACATATAAAAAACTATGTGATGTGCAAGTTATGTTAAGTTAATCTAACACATGTTAAGCAGTTTGAATTTATTTAAAGTAGCCTCCAAATTCATAGAAAACATCTATACATTGTAATTTTCATACGGTTTTCATGAAAACATATCAATAACATTATTTGCATAACTTAGACGCTTTAAAAATCCAAAGCAGAGCCGGAGTTGATACAGCACCGGTTATAGAATCTTTTTTTCCTATAATCATTGACAGTTTTAGAATAAATAATCCATGATAAAAGGTTAGATTAAAATAAACCTACCTCATAGTTATGGAAAATATTATATTTAACTTCTTTGTATGAGCTGTCTGAAGTTGTGAAATATGCAATTTAGCAGTTCTTCTTGTTTACATTGAAATGTCAAAAACAAATGCAAACAAACATTATTAGTGTTCTAATCGAAGCCATGGAGACCAATCAATATTTACTTTTAAAATCCTCACCTCAGAATTTTTAAAGCCAAAGGGGCAAAGCCTACGTTTAGTATTGAAATGTGAATAGTCCTATAATGGTCCTTAGTATGGTAGCTATATTTTTGTAAAATTTAAGCCCAGTTGGTTCAGTAGTTTTTGCACCTATTAGTAACACACATACAGACAGACACCATTAGATTTTTATATAATAGTATAGATATAGATAGAAGATAGTGTCCCAATTGATTACTTATAGCAAATATTCTGTGCTTATAGTCAAATAACTAGCTGTGTGCCCGCGGGGATCTTATAGTAGTCAGTTGAATGTGACAAAAATCACACAATAATGTTGGGTTTTTGGATATTTGTAATTTTATTTCGTAGGCCATGTATTCTATGGAAAAGTAGGGCCTACTGGTATCAAGGATCGTCGTCGTAAAGGTTGTTAGATTAATTAAATAGGTAGGCGTACGTACCCAAGAGATGGGCTATGGGCCTATTGGCTGTATGGTCCAGCGATTGCATTACACGGTGAGTAGGAACAGAAAGTGACACATTGAAATACCCCCGCCGCAGCAAACCTGCAGACTAAGCAAATTTCCATTAGCCTGATAGGATTTACACTAAAATGCCTCCTTAAAAATATCATATTTGTTCCCTATTTAAATAGAATTAGTTAAACGAGTACTTAGGTTTGCTGCAACAGGGATGGTAAAAAGGTGGTTTTTTTATGTTAATAGGTTAGTAAGAAATTAATCTATTTTCCAAATTCGATCAAAATATGTTCATAAACAAGCAAACGACAACAGTTGACTTTTTCTCCATAAGAATAACATGGGGATTTTAAATTTACAGTTTTTTGGAATTTTCTCCGAAACCATTAGGCGCACAATAACGCTTCAATATATTAAATTATTTGTTTTTTTATGCTCTACAAAATGGTGTGAAAAGAAATTGTAAAATTTTGTGTTTATAGGGTCAAAAATGGGAAAAACCTATTTTTACCCCACAAAACCCCCCACAAACCCCCGTTCCCATAGTCCGATCATGCTGGTTCGCGAACTCGTTCGAATAAATGTAGGTTTACACGTTTGTACCAAATTTCATCAAAATCGGATGCTTTTTGCTCGAGTTATCGTGCTAACGGACACACACATATATATATATATATATATGAATTTGAACGGATGGTGTTTTTGGCCTCTAGGGACCTCAAAACGAAAAAATAAATCGGTCCCGAGTCCAGGTCTTACCATGAGTACTACGGTAATAGCTTATTCCCTATATGGGAAATTTGCTAAAAGCGAGTTTAGCATCATCCGTAAACCTCTGTTACAATCACCCACTGCAGTTGTGATTTCTTTTACTTTACACTTTACACAACCGCCATTGAAGCGCCGTCAATGAGTGGAAACCTTGTTTGTAAGCTATTGGCGACGATCATTAAGTGTCCCAGCCATATACAACACTGATTCAAGGTCTTTTTCTGGTTATCAAAACTCAAGAACAATTTTATACACAAAGAATTTCTGGTTCCTGACCTGGATGATGCCTAGTTATTTAATTTCATTTACGGTTACACTATGATATTGCACTTGCGATTAATTAAATCCGTTATGTAAGAAACACGTTTTTAATCTCACTGGGTTGGTATTTGCTTTCAAAGCGTGATTCAAAATGGTTGCGGTATTTGTAAACAACATTTGTAAACATATCAGTGACATCTAGAAAAAATAATCTTGATCCAAACAGCTGTTCGTTATTTCATAGATGATTATGTGATAAAAAATGGACGAAAACTTGACAAAAATCGCACAAAACTGCATTCTTGAATGTCCGTAATTCTATTTACAAAGTAGTGAGGCCATATTTTAATCGCTAAAGACACTCTCGCCAATCCAGTGAATACATTAAAATGTCTTGGATCTTGATAGGTACTCTCGTTTTCAGGGAGAAGACTGCGTAAAATGCCATCTTGAGTGTTACAGACAGACAGAAAGACAGACAGACAGACAGACAGAAATAGAGATAAGACTAGTTTCTGCTTCTTTAATGTATAAAACGTAAAAATAACCTAAAAATATATAATTCTGAGCAATATGTACAGACAAAACTCTAATTTTATTTATATAGACAAATTAATTTTAAAGGAAGCAGGAATTAAGTTCCCTATTTTTATGTATCTGCCTTATAATTTTTTGCAAGAATAAGGATATCAGAATATCATTTTTCATTACAAACATTATTAGGAGAAATTATTCGTGATGTGGAAAGCGAAAAGGGACCTCTTGTCGTCGATGCAAAATTTTCAGTAAGGCCGATATAAGTAATTAAGGTCAAAAATATCAAAATTTGGAAAACTTTAAAGTCCTTTAACTTTAACAAAGAAAATCTTTTGTCTTGAAAATCTCCAACGCAAGATGCATTGGACTTGCACCAATTGATTCGGAATCCAATAATGAATTCAAACATATATATAACTCAAAACAAAATCGAAAATTCCCGGCAAGAGGTCCCTTTTTTCTATCTACATCACTTTATCCCTAAACAGAAAAGGTTTATCTATTATTTTATTTAAGGATTTCAATTCAGCAACTACGGTAAATGTTTCAGAATCTCAAAGAAAGTATCCAGTTTTGTACTACATGGACCGGTTATGCACAAAGCCATGCCACTTGGACATTGATGGAAAATCTGTGGAAATAGAAACTGGAACTCCAGTAAGTTTCTAATTATTTCTCAGAATTAAGGATATCAGAATTAAAGATGCACATAGGCTCTTTATTTAAGCAGTAAGTTTAAAATTTACGACAACTAGTTTTATAAACCAATTTTATAAACGGGCAGACTGGGTAGGCCTAGCCCAGTCACTTTAGGTAAGAACATAGACATGACAGATGTAAAGCTGATTTTTTGCATGGTGATATTATATAATAGGAAGGGTGTTTTCTGAAAGTTCCCCGAATTTCCCCCCCTTGCTTCCCCTTAAAGTTCCCCCTCCCCCCAAACACGAGGTTGAAAGTGCAGTGTTTTACTAAATCACCTATATCTTTTGATGTGAACAAGCTATCAGCATAATTGTTTTTTCTTTGAACTCCCCGTTAAATTTATTTCAATAAAATAACCTTACATGTAGCATTATCTCTATTGGGTGGGGTTTTATATGTGATACAAAATAAATATTATTTTATTTAAAACGTTAAGTTGTAGATTAGGCCAAACGTCAGATTTGCAGTAGGTAGTACGTCATTGTAACAAAACTTTTTACCTATTTTATGAACTTTCCAAAAATGTATAACAATATATATTTTAATTTAAATTGTTACCGAATGAAGCCATTTAAATCCATGCTTCAAACAGCCACAAAGCGCACTAAGCGGATCACTCCAACTTGACCAGTAAATATTACTATCTATTCAATATATAATTAAGTTTTAAAAATATTTGTAAATCTAGAGTTCTACTGGACCGATTTTATTAATTATTGTGTCGTTGGAAAGCTTATCTCGTGTAGATTTGCAAATAATTATGAAATTTTGTTTTTGTTATGATTTATGGTGAAAAATCAAAAAATTCTTTCCATAAGAAATACATTGAAAACTGTGTTTTAAACACTTTTTGTTTGGGTGCGAAATTTGGCTGCTTACTTAGAGTATTTTCAAGAAGTGCATGGTACCAATTTGTAGGAAATTTTATCCTCTTTCAGAATATTACCTTCCACTCTGGTCGATTTCCTCACTATTTAAAAGTTATTTGCAAAAAAGCTAAGCAACCTAAGTTTCTGTTTTCAAGTTTCTATTTGTAGCCAGCTTTTGGCTGCCTTTAATAAGTATTTAAAATGTACTGTTATGGTCTTGCGGCGACCATAACAGTATATCTTGTAATTGTGAATACATTGAAAAAGTAGATTATTACAAATATTTAGGTGTTTATCTTGACTACCGAATGAGGTGGTCAGAGCATGTAGATTTCTTAAAGAAAAAGATTCGTAAATACATATATGCTTTTAATCAACTGAGTGTCATTTTGGACGAGGAGGACGTAAAGAGAGCTTATTTCGCTTATGTACAATCCTTGATTTCATTTGGTATTATCTGCTGGGGAGCATGCTATCACACCACCTTGGAACCCTTGAATGTGGTCCAAAGATCAATTTTGAAAGTAGCTTTTAGAAAAAATAAAAGGTACTCCACTGATGCGCTATTCCGTGAGACGGGAGTATTACCAGTCAGACATATTTTCATTCAGTTTCTTCTTAGTCACACATTCAAAAACTCAAACACGATCCTTACAGCAGTCACACATCAACACTACACAAGATATTCACACAATGTTGGAATATCTGTCCCTCAGCTACATAAGTCAGTTCTAACTACCAACTGTTTTTATGTTGCTCAGATTCTATATCGAAATCTAATTCAAAAATATAATATTCAACACATTTTTAGTTTACCCTCAATACAGAAATTCAAAAAACAGATGCTTGTTTTACTGCACACGATTACCAATGAAGAGGCCGAAACTTTGATCAGACCTAACCTTACTTGACTCTGACTAAACAATCCTTGACCCTTCGACCCCCTCGCCCTCACAATGTCTCCTGTCTTAGATTGCACTGGCTTTGGTTGTCGTCGCCGACATTCTCTTATCCGCTAAACGATCAAGTTAAATTAACAAGGCTTAACAACCTTCCCAATTTTAGTGTGTGCCCTCAATTTGCTTAGACTGATAACAGCCAGGCCTACGCACAGGCACCTGCCCTTGTAGGCCTATCCCATAAGTAAGGCAAATTTTATTTTATTTTAGAAATATTGTACTGTTAGTTGTATAGCTACTCTCTGTTTTAGTTTATATTCTTGGGATAAATAAACGTTTTTCATTTCATTTCATTTTATAAAAATGCATAGTAGTTATTTTAGTACATTTTATTCTCTTTCCGAATATCACATCCACTTTGGTCGATTTTCCCTTCATTTAAAAGTTATTGGCAATAAGCTAGGTTATCTCCAAATTTTAAGTGGTGAGAAAATTCTAAATTAGATATGTTTTTGTTAAACTTTGTACAACTAAATTGATTGTATAAAGCATTGATTGTATAAATTCACTCCCACCCTTCATTGACGAAGGAGCTGACGATGATGAGGGAAAAGAAAGTTGATATGTACTGTATCTGATAGTTTATGCCTTACTTTAAGTGTTTTTTTTTTACTGTAATTAAATAAACTTGTAGAGCATATACTGTAGAGGGTGATTGGTACTCAGTGTGACAAACATTTTTTGTTGTAAGTACAAAGTCAATGAAGTGTGATGATGCAAATAAAAGGTTCCAAATTTAAAAATTGCTCTATGATTTTAAAAAATAACTATGTTTTTAAACTTAATACAGCTATTTCTCAATTACCTGTATATGGATTTGAGTAGATTATGTCATTTTCGTGTCATTTTCTACATTAAATTTTGAATAAGAATAATAGAAAATTACGGAGAATTAGTTGTAAAAACCCCATTGTAAATCGATTCAAAGATAAAAATTAAGATTTTTCATAAAAATAAAAATAAACATGGGTCTGTTGCATTTTTTCACACCCTGTATACAAGAAAGTGTCCAAATATGTTAAAAGCTGGGCCATTTTATAAGCTTTCCAACCATATGCTACTATTGAGGTTTAGATATTCTTTTGTTTGTTGTAGTGGTTTGAATACTAGAAAACAGGGAACTTTTTTACCGTTTTTACTGTTCAAGCTGAAACAATAATAAGTTTTGCTTAATACATGCCGACTTTCTATGTTTGAAATGTTGAACAAAGACACCATGTTTTGTAGTCTTCAAACCACTAATAAACAGACATAAAGCTCAATGGTGTAGCATATGGTTGGAAAACTTATAAAATGGCGCGGTTTTTACCATATTCGGACACTTTCTTGTATACAGGGTGTGAACAAATGCAATATACCAATATTTTTTACATTTTTATCAAACATCTTAATTTTTATCTATGAATCTATTTACAATGGAGTTTTCACAACTGATTTCCCGTAATTTTATATTATTTGTATTCAAAATTTAATGTAGAACACGAAAATGAAATTATCTATTCAAATCCATTTACAAGTTTTTATAAGTTTAAAATATAGTTATTTCTGAAAAAACACAAAATAATTCTTTGGGAAGCTAATTTTTAGACTTTGGACCTTTTATGTGCATCATCACACTGCAATTACTTTGTACTTACACCAAAAAAATTTTGTCACACTGAGTATCAATCACCCTGTATTTACCTTTTCTTATAACTACCGACTACTTCATTTTCAATCCTTAAGTACTTATTTTCTTACTATTTTTTTAATTCAGTGTTCCTAATTTGCTTGTTAAACATACTCACAGGGTGTGTAAAAAATAAATAAACAAAAAGTAATCATTTAGTAATATTTAATAGACAATTTGGAATGATGCGCTAAGTGAGGTATGTGGCTGTTTGAAGCGTGGATTTAAAGGCTACATTCGGCAACAGCTTAAATTAACATATATATTGTTATACATTTTTGGAAAGCTAGATTAAATAGGTAAAAAGTTTTGTTTCAAACACATTGACGTACGACCTACTGCAAAACCAGAGTTTGACCTAATCTACGATTTCATTTAAAAAATATATATATTTTTTGTTATATCACAGATATAAACCCACCCAATAGAGATTCTAAATTATGTATGGTTATTTTATGAAAGTAAATTTAACGGGGAGTTCAAAGAAAAAACAATTATGCTGATAGCTTGATTATATCAAAATATATAGGTGATTTAGTAAAACACTACACGTTCAACCTGGTGTTTGGGGGGAGGGGGGGATTTAAGGGGAAGCAAGGGGGGGAAATTCGGGGAACTTTCAGAAAACACCCTTCCTATTATATAATATCACCATGCAAAAAATCAGCTTTACATCTTTTATGTCTTCGTTGGCCTTGATTTTGAACTAAAGTTACTGGGCTGCTGCCCGCCGGTTTCCCCCACCCCAAACACCACTCACCTGCATTAGGAAAATACCCCCGCCGCAGCAAACCTGCAGACTAAGCGAATTTTCCATTTGCCTGAATTGATTTTAATTTAAATCTATATTTAAATAAAAGGTTTAAATTACCAGTCCGTCAAGTGATCCTGGTTTGTAGTAAGTTGACTACAGCTGTTTTGTGTTGTTATATAGACATCTTCATGTTGAACGTTACATTGATTTATTATTATTATTACATTTATCGTCATAAGGTTTAAAGTTACTAAAAAACTTTTAATCTTTTGATAAAGCTTTCATTGAAGCATTCAATTACTATTCACAGTTAAGGGAAACAAAAAAATCATCTTATCAACATCAGGCCTTTTAACTTTCCATTTTCTCATTTAAATACAATTGACATTATTACAGCAACTAACCAAAAGAACGCCAAATGAAGCAAATAAAATTGTGGCAGACAGGTTATGCAGAAAATCAGGTAGTTCTTAAGTTTAGTAATGTAAACAAATTTTATCGTTATAAAAAAAATGAAAGAAATTTGTAAAGATATACTGGTAATAATTAATGGTGGTACCATGCAGGCTACATTATCAATGACGAATATAATCATGGACAATCTAATTCGGCTATGAGTGAGAGAGGGAAATATTAAATATTTACAAATTTTGTAAAAAATACTACATAAATAAAAGATCAGCATTTGAAAAATGATAAAATATTTACATGAAATGTTGATAATATCGAACTGGTATTGGCGTTGTGAGTATTTCCATTAGTTACATAATTTTTGAGTTGACTCTTTTAAACTCATCGGACATTATGACTGATAATCGTTTTTAAATAACTCCTGTAATACTTTGCAATTGCTCGGATTCGTGCAATGGGTAATTAATACGCCAACACAACATTTGTCGTTTGAACTCCTTTGCCATTTCTCAACCGATTTCGACCGTTCGTGTGTCTCATTGGAAAGAGTGTGTCGCGTAGATTTGCAAACTGACCTTACATTAATGAAAAAGTCCCTTGGGTTCTGCCCCAGTTGCTTTTAAAGTTCCCATGTTATTTTTATATAGGATATTTATTGTTTACATTATGATCAGCTGGACAATTTTCGGTTAATATTTTGAGTTAGAATTCAAGAAAAAAAAAAACTATTCATGGAAACACATTTTACATACGTACATTTACTGATTTGGTTGAAATTAAATATTTACTGTTTGAATTTGGGTTTACATACATATTAGAATGGTAAACAGGGAGAAAGCCAGGACAATTTGATATATTTCACCAAAAAGAAACATGAATTGACAAATATTTCTTGATCACTTATTGAAAGAACCGATTTGTAAACTATGGAAACATAGGAGAGTCATTAGAGAATCTATTAAATAGAGGAAACAAACAGAGATAAAGTTTTTCTTATTTAATGAATTTATTACCATTATAAGCCTTATAGTGAAGAACACCTATAAAATGAAGATTCCTACAAACGATGAACTAGGATGTAAACTAAATTGCTACCGTTTTTAGAAGGAAACATGGACTTAACTTTGTTATCATTGCAGAGTAAACCCCTAAGTAGAGGCTAAATAAAACTGGTATGTCAAGGATATTAGACCACGATATATGTTTCCGTAAAAGTCAATTGATTTTAGAATAGTATGACTATCCAAGAAACGTTTACCAACTAAAACTTGCATTCAAGGATTCAATATTATTATTCACAGTCAAGGGAAACAAAAATCCATTTGAACAACATCATGCCTTTTAACTCAGCATTTTCTCAGGTAAATATAATTGATGTTATTATATCAATTAACCAAAAGAATGACAATTAAAGAAAAAAAATTTGTGACGGACAGGTTATGCAGAAAATCAGGTTGTTCTTAATTATTGCGAAGAAATTGTATCGCTATTATAAAAATGACTGAAATTTGTAAACATACTGGCGACAATGGTGATATCATGCCAGGCTACATTGTCAATGACGAAGATAAACATGGACAACATTATGCAAACATTTGTAGAATCATTAAAAAACTATATAAGCTTTAAAATAATAAAATATTTACAAGAAATGTTGATTATCCTATATTGAACTTATAATGTCTCGGCCTATCCCAAAATTATAAATGTTATTCGTCTTTAAATAAATACGGTAATAATAAATAATCGTAATACTTTGCAATTGCTCGAATTTGAGCAGCATGTACACTAGTAGGAAATGAATCCGACAATTTTAAGGAAATATTTTAGTAGAAATCCAGCCAGGTAAATGGAAATTCGCTCAGTCAGCAGGTTTGTTGCGGTGGGGGTATTTTTGCTTTTATTTTTGTTAAAAATGAACATTGTGTTAAAATACATGATAAGAGACATAAAAGGATGTAATCTAAAAAAAACTATTAATAGACATAAAAGGATGTCACCAAAAAAAACTATTAATAGACATAAAAGGATGTAATCAAAAAAAAAAACTATTAACAGATAAATAAAAAAATGTTGTTAATGGGATGAAAATGATTGTACAGTGGTTGACTTTAGCCACTGACAGTTTAGGTTTATGTAAATGATTGATCTTTGTAGAATTTGCCCACTTTTTAACCAAGCCATACACTGGAAAGACATCTTATTGTAAGCAATGGCATCTTTTATATCCCATCATACATCAGAGTAACAAAAACTAATGGAGAAAATACAAATTTAGGCTTCACCACACTCTGTGAGTGGCTCATTAAACTACTGTATGTTCTTAAAAAAAAAGACTGCATCTGGTCCATACAATGAATTGATTATGAGCCCCACACTGAGGTGGAAGTAATAAGATTGCATCCCTTGGTGATTTTGAGCCTCAAACCTCCAGGTAAGCATAGAGTACAATACATCTTTCACCAAAGGATTAGTGAACACATTACTGCCGCTTTATTCCTGTGCTCAAAATCACTGTGTACCTGTAGGTTTTGAGGCTCAAAAGTCAGTGTGCTCAGTCCATATAGAAGGGATGTCCTGCTTCAGTATTCAAAAGTCAATATTTTATCAAATTATAGGCTTACTATCTACTTATATAGTAAAGTGTTGTGTGTAATATACTTTCATCCTATAGGTGATACTTCCCATGTTTGCAATCCACAGAGACCCTCTTTACTATCCAAATCCTGAGGTTTTTGACCCAGAGAGATTCAACGCAGAAAACAAGGCAGCTCGCCCTGCATACACCTACATACCTTTTGGGGAAGGACCAAGGATCTGTCCAGGTGTGTATAGTTAACATGACCCATGCTAAGTGTTATGTCTGGATACGGAAATGAGTACCTATTTGTAAATGTGAATCAAGACAAGAATTTATACAGTTGGATTAAATTGGGTTTAAACTGTGGTTTTCTCAAATAATCTTTGCCAGGAGAACATGTTCCTGATTAGATTCTCTTGTTTATACTGTCATAGATAAGCTTCTAAATAAGTGTTTTTTCTGGAAAACTGACAACAATAATTTTGTTGTCAATAAGACAACAATAATTTTGTACTTAGTCAGGAGGCTGGTATGAATGGATGGAATGTGATTATTTTTTCACTAACTTAACAAATTATAATTCCCAAGCATTTGTTTCGGTATGGGCGGGCCGAGATCCCAGTGTTTCCCCAAGCTTTTTTAGGATGTGTTGAATTGTTTACACATCACCGGGCAACATTTTCACATACCGGTAGCTAGCTTTTACGCTTGGCTGAAAGTTTAGTCAATTTTTAAAATTATTAAATCTCCCGCCCTATGCAAGAAGATGTCAGTGATACGCTGTTACCACTGGTAATATCCATATGTTGGATACTATAGATACAAGAGACTTCCATTTCCCCATTTCGTATAATCCAGCCCAGGTATCTTTCAGGAATACAAGGAGAAGCTCCTTGAAGGCATACTACAAGTGGGGGTACTTCTAGATGATGTAATCATTATGGGTCTAACAAAGAAGAATACCTCATGAACTTAAAGGAGGTGTTAAAACGAATGAGTGACGCACGGCTAAAAGCAAAGGAAAAAATTTTTAGATTCATGCAGAATTCAGTCACCTATCTTGGACACATTATCAATGAACAGGGTATCCATCCAATTATTATTATGTGCTCGCTGTATCCATCCAACAAAGGAGAAGATTGAAGAAATACGAAATGCACCTAAAACCTACACATGTCAAACAGCTTAGGTCTTTTTTAGGATCCATAAACTATTATGAAAGGTTTATCTTTAGGTTGCTTGCACTGTGCTCAAGGTTACACCAACTTACTAGCAACAGATCGAAATGGATCTGGACAGGGAAATAAGATGAAGTATTTACAAAGGTCAAAATGATTCTTTCGGAAGAAGACACAGTTGTTCCATATGATGAATCCAAACCTCTAGTGTTGGTGTGTGATGCGTCAGAAGATGGTCTTGGGAGTGTTCTAATGCACAAGTGTGAAGATGGTCTGGAAAAACCAATCGCTTATGCTAGCAGAACTCTTTCAGATGCTGAGAAAAGATACACGAATATTGATCGAGAAGCACTTGCAATTTTATTTGCTTTAAGAAAGTTTCACCAATATGTATATGGACGAAGCTTCACACTTGTCACCGATCATAAACCCCTTCATAGGATATTTGGAGAAAACCGGAATCTTCCAAGGGTAATGAACAGTAGGTTGGTTAGATGGGCCCTAGAACTGCATCAGTACAATTTTCAAATCAAGTACAAAAAAGAAAAGGAGGTGAAAGGAGATGAAAACGTTTGTGCTGATGCACTATCCCGTCTTCCCATCAGAATCAGAGAAAAATCTACCGATGTAAGAGACATGAAGTTATATTTTAAACGGATAAAGTTGAGGCATTGGTACTCAAGTATAAGAAACACAAACATAACAGCAGTTTGGACAACTAGATCAAATTAGTACAAAGTTATGTGCTAAATGCATGGCCAGAGAGGTTACTAAATAACATTAAACCATTTAAACAAAGGAAAGAAAAAATATCAGTTGAAGATGGTGTTTTGATGTGGTTTGGTAGAGTTGTTGTGCCAACAAATATGAGAAAAACGATATTGAGAATTTTGCACTGTGGCCATCCTGGAATTTCAGCTATGCGATCAATTACCAGATACTATGTATGGTGGCCTGACATTGACAAAGACGTTGAAATGCCTGTAAAGATTTGTGAAGCATATCAAGAAAACAGAGGAAACATTGAAGAAGTCCTGGTCTATCCATGGAACATTCCTGAAAAAGTGTGGTAAAGGGTTCATCTGGATTTAGCTGGACCAGTTGATGGGGTAATGTGGTTAGTAGGGATTGACACGCTATCTAAGTGGGCAGAAGTTGAATGTTTAAGAACAACTACTTCAACGGATTAAAAGATTGAGATCGTGGATGAGCAGGTATGGGATACCTTCACAAGTGGTAACTGACAGCGAGCCACAGTTTGTCTCTACTGAAATGGAAGCATGTAAGAACAACAAAACAAGAAATTAATGATCATTGGCATTGCAAAATGTGTTGTTCAGTTACAAAAATGCCCCACAAAAAACAACAGGACGAGCCCCTGCAGAGTTGTTTCTTGGCCGAAGAATGCCAACTATGTTGGACAACATGAAACCAAACCTTAGACAACAATTAGATCTGAAAATTTGGAAAGAATAACAAAACCCAACTCAAAAGAAAACTTTAAGAACATTCAGTGAAGGGGAAGAAGTATGGGTGAAAAATGAAAATAACCCTGGTTGGATAGCAGGAACAATAGTCAAACACAATGGCTTATACTCTTATGAAGTCATTTGTGGTGGAGTGATAAAAAGAAAACATTTGGATCAACTGCGAAGAAGAGAAGGTGCGGTAGACGATGGGGAGGGAGAAGTGTAATATATTGGAATCAGCTGATAATTTGGTTTTATGTTTATTTTGTTATGTAAACAAATAATAATGTTATGTTTTGTTCTGTGATTAAATAAGTTGAAGTTAGTTTTTGATTTTATTTCAATTTTTCCAGGGTCCAAGTGGGGGGGCTTAAGACCCTGTCCCCCCCCCTTGGAACCATCACTGACACCAACACAAAAAATTGGTAAGGCATTTGGACACGGCACTGCCGTAACGGTGTGTGTGTAAACAGTTCTAATTGGTAACACTGGATTCCAACTCCCACGTCACCGGCGCGGTGCCGTGCCGGTGTCATGCCAGTGCCGCGTCGTGCAGTGTGAAAGCGGCCAATGGCAACTAAAGGACCTACAGTTTATAGTGGAATCCGAACCAAATTTTTGCCTTGGTATTAAGCTAAGTAAGAAGCTACACGCACAAACGGTCCTAACTCAAAAAACTACCCTTGTACATTCCAATAAATTACAATAGGTTAGGGGGCAAAAAAAAAATCTAACTTTGAAAAGCTCTAAACTTGTGTACATTTTTTAGGTATGAAATATGGACTGAATCAAGTGAAACTTTTTGTTTCGAGCATCGTGCAAAAGTACAAGATACTGAAGAGTGAAAAAACCCCAGAAAAAATTACTTTTTCACCAAATTCATTTTTAGTTACACCCAACGAGCGGTTATGGATTCGATTAGAGAAAAGGAAGTGATGAGGATAAAAACAGCACATAGTTATTAGAACTGATTGTTTTATATCTATATATAACTATTTCAACTAATCTGTGTATTTCAATGAAAATAACCTTTTTAGTCTTTACTTTAAAAGAGAGTAACTACATAATATCTGCCACTTTGTTTTCCTGTTGCTAACAATTGTTAATCATATGTGAAATTTATAACTATCAACTATGGATATAGGCATGTAGGCCTATACTAAATAAAATGTAATGAAATAAAACTCTCTGTACTCAAAGTTCTAACTCCATGGCTACAAAAATTAAGTCTAAGTTTCTTTTGTTAAGGTTCTCAAATTCTTTAACTTTACACTGCCATAAACCTAATAAAAATAAACTGCAAAACAATATAGTGGCCGGTGGTTATTGCATGATATTTCTGTTTAGAAATAATCAGAATTAATTTAATTGAGGTGTGTTATATCATTAATCTAAACCCCCACTGGGGCTGGGGTTTTTATCATGCCCCAAAAAAGATCCCGCTGCGAAATTTGCATGCATTTTGGCGCTGCAGGTTTTATACCACTGGTAGCACTGACAGGTTGCGTCCCGCACCGCAATGCATAAAAGCTCCCATAAGACTCAATATACCTACAGCGGCAAAAATGCTGTGTTTCCTATGTCCGCGGCACTATGGACTTTTGGGCCGCAACTATAGAGTGGGCCACACTGCAGTGTATAAAAGCTCCCATAAGACTCAAATGTACCTAGAGCGGCAAAAAAGCTGCGTTTCCTATGTCAGCTGCACTGAACTTGCGGACCGCAACTATAGAGCGGGCCGCACCGCAGTGCATAAAAGCGCCCATTTAAGTCAATGTGTACTTATAGAATTGCAGCGGCTGCCACAGTGCGGCGACCACAGGTGCAAAAAAAGGGACCTTGTCTTCCCAAAGCAGCTTCAAAGAACTTAATTTTCCTATTCCATTTCCTTACTTTCGATTACAGTGGATAGGAATGTATTGATAACTTAATGTCATAATAATACATATAATTGAATTAAATATTATTACAACATTCTACCATTGACTACTAATTCTACTTTACTCAGAGTATCTTGCCATCCAGTTGAGTATAAAGGCATTTGTCAAAGACTCATAAAAATTTAATCAGATGATTTCCCCCGAGGTATGCTGCACTCTGCAAGTAATTGGATGAGTCTCTCTCCTAATCCTTTCCTTCCTCTCATCACTAAAACACCACACCTACACAGGTGCACTGATTCCTAAGTTTAATCAGCATACAATGAGAAATGTAGCTTTTGGTTATTTGTAGTCCTAATACGTGATAAGGTATCTTTTTAAGTTTAAGTAGATTTTTTAATGTACACTCAAAGTTTTTCACGCCACATATTTAGAATCCATATAAGTTTTAAAACAGTTAAATAATCTTAACTTGCAAGCTCTTGAAAGGCAATGTGTAAAAAATGCAAGCAGGGACATTTGATTTGATCATTATATAGAATTTTTGACATGTGGTATTGGTACTTTGAACATTTTTGAATCGATAACGACTACAGTAGTTTTGTTTTGTTTTAAGATCCCTAAATGCAAAAAAATGTATGCCTTTATAAGCAAAACAAATCATTTGAAACATGTTTGTATTGATATAATTTGGCATGCATACAATTCTGAAAAATAATGTATTTTTAAAATAAAGTTATTCATAAAATATAAAGAAAAATTGACTTGATCGCACCAAGAAAACAATTTAACAAAAAAATTAGTGACTTATTTATATCCAATCTAAAAACAGAGAGGCAATAAAATAAAATAACACTATATTTAAATAAAAGTCTTTCACTATACAGGATCACTATTTAGGTTGGGGACACAGCTATGCATATTTTAACCCAAATATGAATCAATAAGGATGAGTGTTATCTCAGTATTAAACCTAAATCTGTCTAAAGATATGAGATTATAACCACTCAGCTACACAGTTTAAGATTTAAGAATTAGTAATAATTCGTTCACCTTCTGAACTAATTTTTTACCGTATCAAAACTTTCTGTTGAGGAAAAGGGGGATTTGAATTTGAAAGGGGGTTTTAAAAGAATAAGTTAAAAATTGGTTTCCAGAAGAATTAACTATATGTGAAGTTAAGTATTTTTTTTTATTATTTATTACCTTGCCAATTTTGCTTGTATTTGAACAAAAGAACTTAGCACCGTATAAGGTTTTTTTCTTAAAACTTACAGATACTACTTTTATTGCTAAGTTTGGTTAGTTTACCTCATGAAGTATTACCTGGTTTTCACTATGTACCGGTACACTGTATCAAGCCTTATTACATCTTCCATAAAGAGAATCACATTAATTTGTAGACTAAATAGTGTAACATGTAAAAAGTAAAATGTAGCTTCATGGAACTTTGGTCGCTTTTCACAATGTCACACACAAACAGAGCCTTGTCCCTGGGATAATCATCAACTCTTTTATCAGAGAAAGACAGTGAGACAATAGACAAAGGCTATTGATGAAGGAGGAGGGGGTGAAAACATACATGTGTAGAGTGTAGTACAGTACAGTAGCAATCCCAAGGAGTGAATGAACCACAGTCCAGTTCAGTGATCTTCATCTGTGGAGACAATGAAGCAGTAATCATCTGTTTTGGCGGAAGTTCCATACCGTCTTCCGCTGAACTTACACGGTTCATGGCACTACCACATTACTATACTACCAATTTACACAAAAACAAGAAAATGATACCTAATCTACATTGAGTGGGATATACAGTAATGACAATGTTTCTCTGTTTTTGGTAATCTTTGCTTGATGAGTGTTAAACTCATGTCGTGTAGTTGTTTTTTGTACTAAATTAGTATTTTAAACACATATTAGCCTCTGGATCTCAGTTTAATACGCTCATCTTATTGTCAAGTCAAACTGAAATCACAGGATCACCTTACAAATCTTATATATAAAAAAATAAATGGTTTTTTCCGAGTTTGTTTGGCTCTTCTACCCGACCGATTTTCAAGATTGAGGTCTCAAATTGAAGGTATACTCTCAAAAATTTTACATCAAACATCTGCATATATTTATCTGCAGTCCCAGTCAAAGTTCAAGTCTTGATTGTTCTTTAACTAAATAATTTTCACCCCTTGTTTTATAATTAAGCACAGGTAATTCTTGAGTCCCAGCAATATTGAAAAAAATATTTTATTGTTTCAAAAATATATAAGGCGTCAACTGTAAAATGCCCATCCCTTTAAAATGAGATTTGACGGACTGGTCATATTTTAGTTTATGCATCAATCTGATTGTTTTTTTTTGTATTTCCAAAATCTGTTTAATATTCTTTTTCGTTGTCCCACCATAAATAATAATTCCATAGTTAACATGGGATTCAATATGAGCAATATATATAATTTTTTACCACACTATGATGTTTTTAGCTGTTTTACATACGTTAATTGGTGGTTGAAAGTTACGTTTTGCGGGCCATGCCAGCTGTCGTCATTTGGGGACCGAACAGGTTTTTACATCCCTAGGGCCGCAAAATCAGCTGCCCGCTTACTTTCTTAAAACACGAATGCATATTAAATATACAGTACAATCAGTATTCATAGTATTGCAATAGAATTGTTTTATTGTCACCGCTGCCTAGCAACTATTTATTATTGTTTTTGCTGATTCCTCAAATTATTTCTTCACATAACCCTAAAGTTGTTGTTGGGTTGACAATTAATGTGCATATTATTGTGGTGAATAGTGGTAATAGGGTATATTGTGGTGAAAAATAGCGTTTGTACCACGCCCACGACGGACCGAAATGGTTTTGCAGCTCTCGATCGTTTTAAGCTCTCGACTTCGTCTTGAACTTAAAACTATCTCTAGCCAGCAAACCCTCATTTTCGGCCCTAGGTACGAAATATACTCGTACTATTAAGGACTGATCCTTCACAGAGATATGACATTGTTCTTAGGACGAATATGCCAGTATTTAGATTTTTTTTATTAAATACTCGAAATGTTTATTCCAGATTAAATCCTTATCTATTATCAAACCCAATAGCTTTGAAGTTTCAACATGAGCAATGGAATTTTTATCCATATCTAACTTTATACTTTTACATTTTTTGTCTCTTTTTGTTTTGAAAAGAATGAAATTAGTTTTACTAGCATTAAGTGTTAAATTATGATCTATTAAAAACTGATTCCAACTTTTAAATTCTGATTTAGCAGACATTTATAAATCAGTTAGGGATTTCCTAGTTGTGTTAAGATTAATATCATCTGCATATACAGGATGTCATGTAACTCTCTGGACACATGTATATATAGCGTTATTACTTAGGTCAAGACAAACACATTTCACCATAGGATACAAGATACAGGATAAAAGATACAAGATAGGCCTACAAGATTCTTTATTTGGATGATTGAACAGTAATACAGTTATAGACCACGTCAAATTAAGGGAACATGGGTCTGTGGTGCCTAGTTTTCCGTCTGTCTGTATTTATGCGTTTTTTACAAAAATAATAATATTTCTTAACGGTTAGAGATACGGCGTGGAGATATTTCAAAAATGTTATCTTATTAAGACCTATCTTGGTTTAAAAAAATACTAAAAAATCATTTTACCGTTTCAAAATGGCAGCTATTTGGAATATTTGATGCCAAATTTTACGAAAACCGTTAACTTTACAAAATGATTGCAAGAGACAAAAGTTAGTAAACTTTATGTAGTTTTCAATGATAACTTATTTGTTAAGAATGGATCAATAATAACAGAGAAATGTCTTCTTTTCAAAATGCATTACCATTTAAACAATGCTAATACTCCTTTTACATTGTCTATAAATATCTGTTCCTACAGTTTGTACATTTGTTACCTAACAATGTACATGTTCTCTCACTGATTTGAGAAAACAAAGTGGCCAATTCGCTCATCAGTGAGACAATGTTAATATTGTCTCACTCTAATTACTTTGTCTCACTCCAGATTTGCAATGTGAAGGCACGTTTCTTTACCAATTTATTTGTTTTATGGTAACTGTAGGAAAAATATAAAGTGCAACTCGAGTGCAAAGTGCTCAC